CTTAGAGTGTTGGGATATGTTTTAATGCCAAATAAAAGCAATTCAATGGTACATACAAATTTTTTACAGTTACTAGCACAGGCAAATTGGCTATGGTTATGCCAACTGATGGAGCAACCATCACCCTAACAAGAACAATTCCCCGACATCCTCAGGATTTTCCTATGGATACATTACCTATGCAACATCAAGGTATCCCACAATCTTCAGTTCAATCAAATTAGGAAATGAGTTAATTTAGGACGACCTTTACCTGTGCAGTTTAAGTTGGGATTAGGACAAAGTTTTGGCCCTCTATAACAACACCGTGTGTTTTTATTCCCAATCACTGTAAACTTCTTCTTAAACTTTTCATACTTCATTAATCGTATAGACAACATCAACCTAAACACGCCAATTAATGTTTTTACTACAACATGTAGTAATCATGTGATGACACAAATATCTATCAGTATGCATATCACCACAGTCACAATACCTTTGCCTCAAATCAACTCTATACTCTTGCCTGTTAGATAAATCCTGAACATGAAAACTTTCAATTCGTCTATCAAATTGAGTAATACACAAGTTTGTGTCGCCTACCTCGTTTGATTGAAATCATATTATCACAAATTTAGAGAAAATATGTCCAAACTTTCTCCATGCATATGCTTAACTCCTTTTTCGAACAAATAACTCAGCCAATCGAAAGTAGGTTACCCTTAGTAGTGCAGTGATTGGAAGATTTCGAGCATCTTTTAACATTGAATTAATGCACTCAAACAAATTTGTCATTATATGACCCTACCTATGGCCTCCCTCAAATGCTAGAACCATTTCGCTTGGAGAATTTCATTAAGCCAGTTTGAGTAAACCTCGCCACATTCTTGTAAATGCTCATAATGAATATTAAATTCATGTTTAGTTCTTGAATAACCTATAAAAATTGTAAGAATTCATATTAGTAGTTTTAATAGCATATATTTATTCATTTAACAATTTAATTAAAAGTACAGCAAGGTTATGAAGCATACCTGATGACAATCACAAAATGTGTCACCGAATTAAACGATCTTAAATTGAATTTCACATAATAAAAATGAAATTATTAGGGCACAAATAGGAATTGAAATAAGAAGAAAATTAATAAAAAGTGAAAATAGAATAGAGATGAAAAATGGCGCCACAATCGCAAGATTAATAAGCCAAGGAACGATCGTCATAAAAGTCTTGACCTCTTGATAAGATCAAGAAAACTGGCTCACTCAAGAACCTAGAGTCACACGCTCTCACAAAAGTGTGCAATCTCAAATTGTATTTAAAACTAATTAAAAGTGTGTCTATAAGACCTAATGCTTGTAAACTAATACTAACGCAAACCCTAATGAGCTTCTTGTACCAACAAGCCTAAATTCAAATAAACTAAATAAAATAATGTTTTTATTCTAAATAAAAACTCAAAATAAGTAATGACTAATATTAAAATAAATAAACTAAATAGAATAATTAAATCCTAATAAAACTCGTTAGAGTTCAAATTTTCTAAGCATATGTAATTGACCATCTTAAACTTTTCTAACTCTAAATTGAGCTCCCTTTCAAATAAGACAGGAAAAATCTTTTTTAAATCTCCATTTATTCTTTTTGTCCTTATCCTTGTCATTGGCCCTTGAAGTCCTTCCAATGCCTTCAAGTCTTTGTCTTCAATGGGCCTTCCGTGATTCTTATCAATACCCATGCAAATAATAAGTTTATGCAAGTATGAAGCCTTGAATCTTTGTAAAAAAACTAGGCGTTTGTTGTCTCACCCTCAACAATAGCAAAAGCAATTGGCAAAATATTTTGATTACTATCTTGTGCAATGACCACTAATAGAACTCCCTTATATTTTTCATATAAATGTGTTCCATCAACCTGAATAAGTGATTTGCAGTGTCTGAATGCTCTTATACAAGGACCAAAAGTCTAGAACACTCGACAAAATATTTTAACATTAGGAACTAACTCATCAGCATGGTAGACATCTACAATATCCAATTGAACAACAAAGTCTCAAACACAGTCACACATTACTGCACACCATTGTAGCAAAGCTTCAAACAAGGCTTCCCATTGACCATAAGCTTTTTCAATTGCCTTTTGTTTTCCTATCAATGCTTTTTGATATGTTGTCATATACCCTTATTGAGATTGAATTTCACCAATGATGAGTTTTATCTTAAAGAAAATGTCAGACTTAACCTTTAGCTTTATACATTCTGCAATTGTGTCGGAATCTAATTTGGTATGATTCTGAGAAATTCTTCCTCTTGTACATATGTGTAGACCGTTGTAATTTCTAATCTCTCAAATAAACTCGTTCTTTCTAAAAGTAGCACGAAGAAGCTATCCACAATTTATTCCATACCTCACACATTTATAATAAAACGTACTTAATTCTGACTCAACTACTTTGTAGTCCACTCCATTTGCTATACTGTAACACTTAATTGTTCGTATAACAGTTTCTCTATCAACAAATTGCTTTCCAACATACAAGTCTCCATCTAAATCATAATGACCTATCAAATGCAAACACATATATAATAAATTAAAAAATAATTTTTTTCATCAACAACATTATTAAAAATAACACATACTTAAATTTGCATAATCTAAAAATTCAAAGGCATGCATAGCATCAAGATTTAACAAATGCAATGTTGTCCAATCACTGTGTTTGACAAATAGACCTCTTCATCACCATCGTCATCTACATCCTCATCTTCACTCAGCTTACTACTTTCATATTCTCCTCTAGATTCAAAGACACTACTTTCACTGTTGACATTTATCTATTCTACCTCTCTGATTGACACAGTGCTTGCATATGCATCCTCATCCTTTTCATCAATGTTAACTATAATTTCTTTGAAAATAATATATAACTCAATGACAGGGGTTGGTGGATAACATTGGTGATGTATTTGAAACATGTGTACAGATCAATATCGTTTATTATTAGAATTATATAAAACCGTCAAATATAGATATTGGACATTTATAAACAATACTCTCCACTACTTTTGGAAACTCAAATTCAATATTTTGAGTAAGCCAATAATTCAGTTTGTCAAATGATATATTCCCTCTCATGTACACACATATTGGTTTTTCATACCTAAATAATACACCTTCACGAGTGTTTGTAATAATCTCACCATTAAAATATATCAACAAGAACACACTCATTTTTTCCTCTACAATGATCTCTCTCTATCTAAAAATCCAGATCTACTCACTTGCAACTTCAATGAAAGAAAAAATCGGTATTTATAGACAAATATTTTAAAAATTGCCAATAGCGATTTTTAAAATTTTTAGATTAATTAATATTATTCAAAAGTCGCCAATGACATTTTTTTATTTTTTCTTACTCTCAAAAGTCGCTAATAATGATCTTTTACTTTTTCCTACTCCTAAAAGTCACCGATAACCATTTTACATATATATATTTTTATTATAACACTAAAAGTTGTTAATGACGATTTTTGTCATAAATAAATTATTTTTTTAAATCTCACCATTGATAAATTTTGATTGTGATTTGATATATCTGATAAAAAAAAAACCGCCATCGACAACTTTTATGAAAATCCCATATTTATGTAATATAGCAAATTTTTTTTATATTTTTTTATTTTAAAAATAAAAAATCATATAAAAAAAAAGCCTACGAAAGAGAGTCATTGTTAAACAAAGTAATATAACAAATGAATTTTTTTGTTCTGTGCACTTTGCTAATTAATAGCAAATTATCAATAAATTAGTTATTCAAATCATATTAAAAGACTTGTGATCCATTTCAATTTTCAAAGAGCAAACATAATTTAAACTTTAAAGCTGATCCATACCAGAAGCAAATATCACTTAATTAAAATATATATTTAATTCTTATAGTTTATATTTTTTATAAATTATTTATATATTTAAAAAAATCATTTTAATCTTTATATAAATATTTTATTACATTTTAATATTTATTATAATGTCATAAAAAATACTAACTTTTATTAACAGTATTATAATACTAAAAATCAAAATATAACAAAGCATTCACATAAAAATTAAAATAAATATTTTAAGTTCAGAAATTTAATTCTTAAATGACTGTAAATTATAAAACTAAATGTACATTTTTAAATTTTTATGTGTAATATAAAAATATGATAACTCAACGCAGTTATTAACACTTGTCTTTAATTTTTTTCATTATTAAATAATTTTTTTATATAAATGGTAAACTACCATTTTAATATCAACGGGACTTCTGAACAATAATATTTATTAATTATACTTGAGTTATGTACTTATGTGTGAAAGATGGATTCAATACCAAATAATTCGGCAAGGATATTTATTTAATTGTTAGGAAAAATAATTCAAATGAAAATATAAAATATATCAAATCACTTGACCCTATTTTTATTTTATTTTTTATATGATAGGGGTTTTCTTTTGTTTTTATAATCCCATTTCCTATACCAATCTCACGGGGAAAACAGCTAGGTGCAGATGCACGTATACATGACAGTATGTGTGTACTTCTTTATTTAATACTAACTTTATAAAATAAAGATTATTAAGAAGACGTGGTACCGAAGTCAGTACCTACAACTCATGTTTGGTCAAACAAGAAAGGGAAAGAAAAAAAATAATTCCTTCATGCAAAATGCAAGATCCACACTAAGCTGAAATATAATTTTTCATCACCAACGAGGTCAAGTCAACACTCAAAACTTGCAAGAAAAACCTTTTCTTAGAAATTCAATAATAACTAAGTGATGTGTATGTTGAAGTTCAAGTCATAACTATGCCATCTTTGTTCTATTGTAGTCCTTTTGTGCTGCCTAATGTGTATGTGCTCCTTTTCAAACACTGGAATACAAACCATTTGCTCTGAGCACTGATTCTCAGGCAAATCTTGCTGCTCTATTTTCATTATCATTATTATTTTCCCATAAAGCTAGAAAAGTTAGATGGGATTTCATAGTTTCTTATTGTCTGTCATTTTGATATCATTTATCATTTATGGAACTAGTACTCATAAATCCCATAACTTTACTATTAATACCAATGATTTGAAAGCCTTGACTGGATTTTCTAACTGCTTAGAATCAGCTATTCTGAACTGGAACAGATCTATGTTCTCTGATTACTGCACTTGGTTTGGTGTCACATGTGATGCCTTGCCTGGTGAAGGCACAAGAGTAGTTCGCTTGGAACTTGGAAGCAGAAGACTTAGTGGAAAAATCTGTGAATCCTTGGCAGGTTTGGATCAGCTAAGAGTCTTGAACCTTTCCCATAATTTCTTGAGTGGCTTCATTCCTGACAAGTTGTTTCAACTACAAAACTTGGAGGTGATAGACTTGAGTAATAACTATTTTCAAGGCTCTATAAGTACAGCTATTTGTACCTCTTCTACTCAGGTTCAAGTACTTAAACTATCAAGTAACTTCTTTTTTAGCATGATTCCAGAGAATTTAGGTAATTGTTCCTCTTTACAGCATCTGTCCATTGCTGGAAATGATTTGTCAGGAAGCCTTCCAGAGAGAATATTTCAGCTGCAAAATTTGAGTCTGCTATACCTGCAGGATAATAAGCTATCTGGGCCATTAAATAAAGGGTTTGGTAATCTTACAAATCTAGTGGAACTAGACATATCTAATAATGGGATTTCTGGAATTCTTCCTGATATTTTTGAGAGACTCACAAGGTTTAAAGTTTTCTCTGCTGAGTCAAATAGATTCACTGGTCAGTTGCCAGCATCATTGGTGAATTCTCTATCTCTTCAGATGCTTATTTTGAACAACAACTCCTTGAGTGGTTCAATTAACTTAAATTGTTCTGCAATGAAAAATCTAACCTCAATTGGTCTTGGTTCTAATCAACTTCATGGTCCAATACCTAGTAATCTATCAAATTGTCTAAGATTGGAAGCAATTAATCTTGCTAGGAACCATTTCAGTTGTGGGATTCCTGTCAAATTCAAGAATCTTCAGTCCCTAACCCAACTCTCACTTTCAAAGAACAGCCTCCATAATTTATCTACAACACTAGAGATTTTAAGTCACTGCAGGAACTTAAGTACCCTTGTCCTTACAATGAACTTCTATAATGAAGAAATGCCACAAGGTCAAAATCTAGAATTCAGTAATCTCAAGGTTTTTGTCCTAGGCAACAGTCAGATCAAAGGTTCAATTCCAAAATGGTTAAGTGGATGCAAGAAGCTGCAGATGTTGGATCTTTCATGGAATCATCTCAGTGGTAGCATTCCCTCATGGTTTGGCAAATTTGACAATCTCTTTTACTTGGACTTATCAAATAACTCTTTCAATGGCATCATACCACAGAGCTTGACCATGATCTTGAGCCTCCATTACAGGAATTTTTCATTGGAAGGAACACTTTCTAACTTTCCCTTTTACACTGGTGGGAGTGTAAAGGGTATGAAGTACAAAAAAGTTTCAAGTTTTAGACCATCTTTATTCCTCAGTTACAACAAACTTCAAGGACCAATATGGCCAAGTTTTGGTAACATGAAAGGCCTACATGTGTTGGACCTAAAACAGAATAGCCTAACAGGATCAATTCCCCAACAGCTATCGGGAATGATAATGTTGGAAATTTTGGACTTATCTCAGAACAAACTGGCAGGAGAAATACCACAATCATTGGTGAAACTTAGTTTCTTATCCATATTTGATGTGTCCTATAATCAGTTGCGCGGTGAAATCCCAACAGGAGGACAGTTTGATACTTTTCCATCTACAAGCTTTGAAGGGAACAAGGGTCTCTACCCTTATGCCACTTCTACCATCATTCCTTCTTCACCACCTGAGATTCCTACTCAGATGGAGATCATTGGTTTTCCATTTGGATTTGGTGTTGTAGCTGCTTTTCTTGTAACTGTAGCCATGTGTTTCACTTCTGGATGGATGTTTTCATAGACTTACCAAGTCCAGCACAGTAAATAGTTGGCTTCATAAGTATAATCACTATAGTTTAATTCTTGGCCATGAGTATGGAAATTAGTTTACTAGTTGAAGCAAAGCTTACTTTAATGATTTCTACCTTCTGAAAAACATTAGCCTCCAAATATTGGATGGGAAATATCTTGGAGTACATGGAAAAATAAACTGAACTCGTTAGCATTGTGAATTCGGCTTTCAATCATGTATTTATCCCTCCCTTACGAGTGGTATTAATACTTGCTAGGATGTGTCCAACACCGCTGACTTACTTTTTTTAAGTCATGATCATCGGGTATACATTGAATTATTAACTCTCTAATTATAAATCTTCTAATCAAAATTAGTCAAATTGTCGTCTAAGTTTAAGTTATATTTAAGTCACTTAGTTTTTTTCAATTCAATTTAATTTTTTAAATTTAGTTTAACTTTCAATTCAGTCATTTATTTATTTTTATTTAATTTAGTCTCCAATTTATTTGTTTTTTCAATATATTCCTTTGCTTTGTCTCCCAACTTATGGAATGTTTGAGGTCAACGCATTTGTGGGTTGACAATATCAGAAAAAGAAGACAGCAATAGATGCTGCATAATATTATTTTGAACAGTTTATAAATTTTTATATATAAATAAATAAATAAATAAATGCTTTTTAAATTATAATATGTAATATTACTAATGTATATTGGGGTAAGATTTAATAGTTGAAATTTATTTTCAAGTAAAAATAGAATTCTCATCTGAGTAGAAATAATTGAATTATGTATTACCTAATTTATTTATTTATTTTTATAAGAAATAACTGGTAGTATTTTTTTTTCCTATTTATGAGAAATACAAATATATTTTCTTATATATATTAATTATTAATTTTTTTATACACTTATTTATTGTAAATTTTTTATCAGCAAAATATTCACCCATTATTCATTTATGTAAATATATTCATTTATTTAATATATAAATTATTAATTTAAATAATTATTAGGATGAGTATATTTAAATTATAATATAAATTTATGATATATAATTTTTTTATTAATATTAATAAATTATTTATTTATTTCTTGTAAAACAAATTGGGAAGTGTATAATACAACTAAATTAATCTTTCATATTTCCTAATATACAATTTTCAACTTCAACTTCACCTCCATATTGCAAAATTCTACCCCCACATCCTATATTTTGTTACTTCTATAGCCATCACAAGTCACCATTATTCTTATCCCATCCTATCACCTCCATCATTATACCATCACCATGATTACTATTATTTTCATTATTACTAGCATCATTATATTATTATTACAGTTACTCCCATTCTAACTGTTGTCATATTTACTATAAATGTTATTACTCATCACTTTTGATTGTCATACTCACTGTGGCCATTACTACTTCGTCTCTTATGGTTATCAACGTACCTTTGCTCCACTGTTATTATTATCATTGTGTCCATTGCTGTATACATATCAAGTTATTTTACTCAAAATTTAATGTACTTTCATCCATACTTATCTCGAATTGAAGGGTCCAAACAAAATTAGGACTTAACCTAGAATTACAATTGTACATTTAAATTTTTTACACTACTTAGATATAAGAATTATAATTATAAAGTAATTTTAATTTAGTTAAAATTAAAATTATAAACTACAATCTCAGTTTCATATATCAAGCAATTGATGTCTTGCTTTGAATTTAAAATGATGAGAAATTTTATGATGAAAATTGGTGTCTTGCTTTGAATTTTAAAATGGTGAGAAATTTTCTTTAGTTCTAATAATACAGGATCCAATTTCAAATGGCATATACGTAAATTCAGACCAAGCCAAGAGGATATTAGGAGCATAAGATGATAATATATGTGGTAAAGGTTTTTTCCGTGACACAAATGCATTTCTTATTTGTTTTGTTTTTTCCTGCAAAGATCAATGTCTCTGCTTTTCAAGTTTCTCTGCCGTCCTGTGATGTGTTATTTTTGAATGATCCACCAATAGAAATATCTGAGAGTTTTTAGTACAGTTTCAGAAGAAAGGTTACTTTCCAAGTTTCAAGGAGAAGGTAAGTGAAGGGTATGGCACAGTTCACTACGCAGGGTCGCTTAAAGATGCTCTTCAATGGTGAGGGTGTACCATCTCTTTTAGAGCACAAGGACCCTTTTCTCTATAAGTGTAGATCAGTTCAGACCCACAAGCGAAGAACAAGGTACATGGGTTCTTCTGCTAGAATTTTCAATGCATCATCTCTTAGTAGCAAAACCAAGCGTTGCAATGCGGAGGCACGCCCCACTGCTTGTAATGAGAGTGTTCGTGATGAATATGATGATAATGTTGATGTTGATGACGACGACGACGACGACGACGACGATGATGTGTTTGGGGGAGATGGGTTGTCTTGCTTCCGGGGTTTGGTGTTGGATATATCTTACAGGTTTTCTTTCAACATATATATATATATATATATATATATATATATATAGTCTTTTCTACTATTGATATGCATAGCAATGATTTGAAGTAGTGAACTTTTTCCATGAATAATTGTTGAGACTAATAAAAAATAGTTTCATAAATTTATATTCTATTTTAATTTTAGAAATATCCATATTCATTGATATCTTATATATTAAATAATTACTTATACAGGTAAAAAGAGTGAAGTATTTTGTTAACACAAATCTCACAAACAAATAAAGATATAACAAGAATTTAGCAAATGAGTCTTTTTTTCTTATTTTTTCGAAAAAAAAATATTAGTAGTTGTTTTTTATGAATAGGACCTAAAGTATTACGGTATTGAGAATTTTCTTTTTCTTGATGAGAAAGGGGTGAAGATTGGGAAAGATCACTTGGGTTGTTACAATTTGCGTTCTGATGCTTTTATGATTCATTCACAGTAGTTAATGGATTCTGAACCTCTCATGCTGGTTTGTCTATTAAGTTTTTGTTAAGTTTTTGTACTATTTTAGGAAGACTGCTAGAGTCGATGCTTTGGGAGTTTCATCCTAGGTTATTGATTGTGAATTTTAATGCATTGTTATGGTAGTAATTCCTCTATCAGGGGAAAAGTCCCATGGAAAGATGTTGTAATCCCATAGAAACGGTTGTTTTGATTATTTACCAAAGAGAAGGGTCTTGAAGCCAGGTGTCTTTTTGGAAGATTGATGAATTGATTTAGTATATGCGAGTATAGATGTAAAAATGCATATTTCTGCCCTTCCAGTTTTTTCCGCAATCTACAAACACTACAACAACAACAACCAAGTCTTATCTCACTAGCTGGAGTTGGCTACATGAATCACACAATATCGTTAAGTTTGGTCAAAAATCAAAATTTTAGAAATCTGGTTAATCTAAAAGTTTCTTTTAATAATTTCGTCAAAGGTTCTTTTGGGTTTCATCTACCTTGTCTTTACCAGACCTAAGAGTAATGCAATCTACTCTCTTTACTAGTTTCTCCAAAAGTTTTTTGCACATGACTAAACTACTTTAGATGATTTTTAGTCATCTTTCTAGTGTTAGTGCTACTCTAATATTCTCTCATATATTATCATTTTGTATTTTATCTTTTTTTGTGTGTCCACTTATCCACCTTAGCATTTTCATTTATGTCATTCCTACTTTTTTCTCGTATTGTTCCTTTAAGGCTCAACATTTACTACCATGTAAGATAATTGATCTTATTGCACTACAGTAAAACTTTCCTTTCAACTTGATAAGTACTTTATGGTTACAAATTATTCTTTATATTTTTTTTACTTTAACCACCTAGCTTGTATCCTGTGAATAACATCTTCATTAATTTTTTCATGATTTTGTATAATTGAACTCAAGTACCTGAAATTAGAAACCTATGACATAATATCATCTCCAATTTTAACTTTCAACGCATGATTCTCATTTTACTTTTTGCTAAACTTACAATACATATATTTTGTCTTACTTCTACTTAAGCAAAAACTTCTAGATTCTTAAGTCTCCTTTTATAACTTAAGTTTAACATTAATCTCTTCTTTTGAATCCTCAACCAATATTATATCATCTACAAAAAGCAAGGGATAATCTTTTGTATGTCATTTGTAAGCACATCTAAGACTAAATTAAACAAGGGTTTAAAGCAGAGCCTTAATGTGAACCTATTTCAATTGGGAAGTCCTTAGATACGTTTTTAGAAGTTCTCATCCATGTAATTATCTTTTCATACATGTCTAGTATAGCCCGAATATATGCTACACGAATCTTTTTTTTTTTTGAAATCTTTCATATCATTTTTCGTGGTACTCGATCATATTCCTCCTCCAAGTCAATATAAACTATGTGTAAGTTCTTTTCTTTGTAGTGATATTTTTTCATCATTTTTTATAAAAGATATATAGTTTCTGTTGTAGTCCTTCCATACATAAAACTAAATTGATTTTTTACAATCTTAGTTTCAGCCCGTATTTTGTTTGTGTATTTTTTTTTTGAGTGACTATTTTTATGGTCTAATTATTGTTTGCTATGGGGAATTAAGGTTCACTACCCAAGAGAACTTGCATTATTTGTGGTGTGGTGTGGGTTCTACACACACACATGTTTGTGTTTTTTCTATTTATTCTTTATTGTTTTTTCAATTAACATGCATAGAGTTGGTCAATTATGCATGCTTTCGAAACTGTGTTGTGTAATTTCTTCCTACCAGTTTGTATCAATTTTTCAGGGATGAAATAGTGTATCCTTTGTAGCCTCAGCATTTAGTGTGTGTAAATAGTATGAAATTGTGACATCTTATTTTCTCTTGTATAGTCACCAATATCAAGACACCTGCTCAGTTGTTTGCTTATGGTTCTGACTGCTGTCATCCTGCTCCAGGCCAGTAAATGTCGTAGGCTGGAAACGTGCTATATGTTTGGAGTTTATGGAGAAGGTCAGATTTTTAAGCTCAACCTTTTCAATTTTTGTGTTTGTGATGCATGCCATTAGGCTATTTAATGTATTTGTTGTCTTGAGATTGACATGGAAATGTCTAAAGTTTGCAATAGCATAGGCTTGGTTGATACCCGACTAAGCTGTGCCATAGCACAAGCAATAATGTATTGGTGGGTATTGGTACTTACTGTTCTCTTAATCTTAATGCAGCCATCATTTCCATTTGGAAGTAGAGTGTATTTGTGACTTAGCTTTCCTTTGTTTGCTTTGTAGTTGAATTTGTAATCTAAACCTGTTTTGTTTTCCAGGCCTAATGGTCAGTTTGCAAATACCAAGACACACACAAATACTGATTCCAGCCACAACTTTTAACTTTATCTTTCTTCCTTTTACATAAACACTGAAACTATGGTTATGAAGTTATGTTTTCAAATCTCTTTTCCAGGCTGATGTACTGGAGTATTATGCTAAGACAGTGAACTCCCCAAGTGGATCTTTCTATATACCAGCTGTCTTAAGGGTATGCACATAGTATTGCTTTTGGTTTACTAATATTTTGGCACTTGGCCTTCATTCTAGTAAAACTAGTAACTCTACTTTTCTATCAGCGTGAATATTTTTGTTTTTTATTATAAATTAATATCAAGCAAACATTAATTACTGAAAAATTTTGTTGCTATTTGTCCGCTATAATACTGATGAACTCAATTTTATTTCTGTAATTGGTACAGGTTCCTCATTTACTTCAGGTTGTTAAAAGAAGAATAGTCAAGAACAATCTTAGTAGAAAAAATATACTTTTTCGGGACAATTACACCTGTCAGTAAGTGGTCTATACTGAACTTGAATTTCTAATAGATCTAAGTATGCTTAATTACAGTCATTTTGCACAAAAAACTCCTGTTTTATTTTTATATATTTATTAGTTGGTGTTGTCAGTAGGCCAGGTTAGATAATCTAACTGCTGAAGGAAATTCAGGGCAGAGTCTTCATATATTTCTGTAAAACTGATATAGCTAAGATCATATATTCAATCATGTGTTAGGAAATAGAACAGAAAAGGTAGTTGCTTGGAAGAATAAAGGGAAGACAAAGTAGTTAGTTAGAGAGGTTTAGTTAGATAGATGAATTAAGGTAAGGGTTGGGAGAGGATTCAGGAAAATATATTTGGAGAGAACCCAGCTAGGGCTTCCTCGATTGGGAAAGGGGAAACCAATAGAGGAGATATCTTTTTCCGTGTTCTGTTCAGTCTAGTAATAAAATTATGCTTTTCTATTCCTTATTTCTGTCATGGATTCCTAAATCATGTCTAGATCATCGGAACTGTAAATAGGGCACTATATTACGTGGATGGATGGATAGTATCCACAATCTTTAGTGTTACAAATTTATTCAGGGACTGGCTGCAAACTTAGGGAGACAGAATGACAAAAGAGAAATATTTAAGCTTGCCAAAATTGGGATAGAAAGTTGAGATTTAAAATAAGTGAAATGTATCAAGGATGAAGAAGAAAAAATTTTGGTTACAGATCAAAACATAAACAACAGATGGAAAAAATATTTTTATAAACTTTTTGATAATGGACAATGAGCAAATGAAAATAAAGAAGGATTAGAAACACAAGCGTATGAATTAAATTTGACATAGTATCATAAAATTTGAGTTGAAGAAGTAAAAACGTCTTTAAGGGATGAATAATGGTAAAGTAGTTGGATCTAATAATATCCTTATCAATGTTTGGAAACGTATGAGAGAATAAGAAGTTGGTTGGTTTACTATGTTCTTTAATGATATTGAGATTTAAGAATATATCACGAGTGAAATAATACTTTGGTCCCTACATACAAGAACAAGAATAATATTTAAAATTGTGCAAATTATAGCGGGATAAAATTTATGAGTTACATTATGAAATTATAGAAAATATGATTAAGTATAGTCATCATGGTAGTTAAATCAAGATTCGAATCGTGAATTATAAGATTCATGACCATTATTAAAACTATATAAAAAATATTCTAATATAAAGAAAAATTAAATACATTCATATGTTTACACTTTATAATCAAATACTTTATTGTATAATTAATAAAATAAAATATAGTATAAAGATTAAAAGCACATCAGTTACAATGACATAAAAAATGTTGTAACTGCATAAATCATTCATATATATATATATATATATATATATATATATATATATATACTTTCAAATCAGCCACAATGACAAAAAAAAAAGATTGTGACGGTATAAATCATCCATATATACCTTCAAAAAATAATAGCAACCAGTTCTAGACCCTAAACATATTCAAAAGGTCTAAACTCCAAATACATAATTTAGTCATCTTTCCCAAGATCAATATCACTTAGTTCATCTTTTTTTTCCAATGGTAAAGATTCTTCTTGTTCTTGTTCTTCCCCTTCCTCGCCATCTCCAAAATATCTCTTGATTCTCTTCAATTTGACTTTCATCTCTAACTATAGATTTTTCCTTCTTATTGGCCCTAGCATTTAAGTTTCTTTGACTTATAAAATAAAATAAAAGCATTAAGCATCAATTGGACCTATAATTATACTATTTTTTCATTAAACAAATACCTGTCTTCCTTTTCTTGCTTGGAGCTCCTTCATCAAAAGTGAAACACTCATGTTTATCCATCCAAGAAGTATCAATTGGTAAGCAAGGGTCTTCTTTTTCAGTAATCTACTCATCATCTAGTTCAATATCAGACAAGTATATAGGATCATAAGTTTCTCCCTTCTCTTCTCTAGTCTTTTGTCTCATATCAAGTTGAAGATTGTACTTGATAAAAACAAGTACATTTAATCTTTGGTCAAATGTACTCCAGTTTCTTTCACAACCCGTAGCACTACATGTGAGACTTAAAATTATCATAGCTACTTTTGTTAGCTCTTTGCACTCTCTACTATAACTTTTCCACCAAAGTCTTATTAAAACAAAAATAAGATGTATATCATAGAAAGAACTTTAAAATATGAAAAAACCAATTTAAAACTACAAGGTTGCTTCTTGTCTCTAGTATCTTTGCCATGTTCATTCTAAAAAGTCCCTTAGTATTCTTCAATTTTTCAAATTGTTGATCAATAGAAAATCTTGTCTTTCTATTCGGAACCATTCTTTCAATTGTTTCATACAAGCCAAATAAAACCTCATTATCCGGATTGAATTTTTTGTCATAGTGAAACTTAATTAAAGAAGACATAAGACATACAACTTAGGTTATCCAATCTTTAAAAAAGTGTAAAAAACTTAAGAGATTGATGATGACTTTATTTACCTAGGATTGAGATAATAGGCAGCTGCATGAAGAGGCCTATATAGCTGTAAATTCCACTTAGTATCAATAATCTTCCACACCTTTTTGTATCTTGACTCTTGATTTTGAAAGTTTTTATCAATTTGTTCTTTAACTCTATCCATTGCTTCATAAATATATGGCGCGACTAGTTTTGAATCATCATCTACAAGTCTTAATACTTTTACAAGAGGAATCACACACTTTAAGCAATACTGAATGGATTTTCAAAATCTAGAATCACTCAAAACTAAATTCGTGACTTGCTTAGCTTCACTTTACTAGCATAAGAACTTTCAACCCATTTTTCTGAAGTAAACAGATCGAAGAACATTCTTTTGTTGCAAAATGCAATTTAGTGTAAGATAAGTAGTTGCAAACCTTGTTACAACTGGTCTTGCTAATTCTCTTCCTTTAGAATGCTGTCTATACAAGTTAAGGACCCATGTATGCCTATATATGTAAGTTGTAATTTTCTTTGCATTTGAAATTGTGTTAAAGAATATTGAAAATTGTCCAATATCTTCAAGCACCAAATCTAAACAATTAGCTGCACAAGGGGACCAAAACAATTTTGTCCTCTTCTCCTCTAGCATTTTTTCAGCTGCCACAGGGTTAGAAGCACCATCTGTCACAATTGGCACTACATTATCCTCTCCAATTTCTTCCACCATGCCATCCAATAATTCAAACATTTGTTTAACATCCTTGATAACATTACTAGTATCAACCGATTTTAAGAAAACAGTCCCACTTGGACTGTTAAGAAGAAAGTTAGTAAGAAATCTTCCTTTTCCATCTGTCCATCCATCACACATTAAAGTGCAATTCCACTTCTCCCATTCACTCTTGTATTTCTCCAAATTTTCATGGATGCTATCAACTACTTTTTTCAAAAAAGATACTCTTACTTCATGATAAGTAGGAGGTTTTAAACCCTTACCAAATTCTCCAACAGCTTTCAACATTTGAATAAAATGAGGATTTCTTACCAAATTAAATGGTAAGGCATTAGCATATATGCATTTGCAAATTTCTTGAATGACATAATTTCTATTTTTGAACATTGTATTCATTGTTTTTTGCTTTAGAGCCTTAGATGTCCCTTCCTTTTCTTTGCTAACAAAAAAATTTATTCTTCCCTCTTGATCACTTGCATCTTGTAGCTTCTTCAGAACACTCTAAACTATTTTCACATTTTTTCTTTTCTTTCTCTTCCAATAGTTTGATGAATATCTCCTTTATTTCATCTGTAACACTTGTACAGGCACTTACATTTTTTCTTGTTCAGCTAAATGATGTTTCATCCTTGTAACTCCATCCGAACAAGTATAAGAATAGTACTTGCATTTTATTAACAGCCTATATGGAGGGACACTTTCACAATATTTCCATGTGATATCACTCTTTTTTATTTTTTGGTAGGACCCATTAGTCTCCAACAAACAGCAAACAAAAATATTTGGAGAAAGACAAATATAAAATAGGAAGTAGGAACTATTGAAGAGGCAGGGACAGAGCGCACGAATGAGTAATAACTTGAGGGACCATAAAAATAAATGAAGGGAATACCAGATATCTAAAGTGAAAAGCACTAAAATAAAAGAAAAGTAAAGAAGAGGAGAACAGTGCAGAATAGAGAAAACAAAGGTTAGTTTTTTTTTTTTACCAACGTAATGTAATGGGTCTTGTAGGGACGGTTTCGCAAAGGTTTTATTAGGTGGGAACAGCAATTATTGCTAAAAAAAAAAAAAGTTTTTAGGGTTTTTAGTGAATCTGGTTGCGTCGACCCGACCTGATTGGTGCGTGACTTGGTTTGCAATTGCATCTCATCACGTCCCCAAATATCGCAATTCAAAATTGAATCTTACGATTCCGGCAGCGATTCCATCCAAAAATGATACTTACATACGATACAAATCGTTCAATTGTTGATTCGTGATATTTCACATGATTCACATTGCAAGTATCGCGATACTAACTACAGTGATAGTCATAGATTAAGAGAAGAAATTAAAATTGTAAAAAATTAATTTAGTTTTATGCTAGAAGAGTGTACAATAGAAGATATAAACTTTTATCAAAAGTTGATGAAAAAATATTGCGACTAAAAGGAAGATTTATATATGATTTTTTTTACTTCAAAAAGACATGTGATCATGTGTCAAGAGAAGTGTTATGAAAGACTTTAGAAAAAAAAAGAAATTCATATAATAGATATTATAGTTATATAAGACATGTATGATAAGGTAATTATAAGTATGAAAACTCCTAGACGCGTACCTAAAGACTTTTCTTTATGGTAATAGGCTTACATTAGAATTTCGCTTTGAATCCTTACATTATAGTCCTTATTGAGAAATTAAAATAAAAAGTTAATTCCAAACTTGAATTTTGGATGCATACTTCACAATTTAAGGGATTTTGCTTTAATAAAAGGAAAACAAAGTACATGCATTGTAATTTTTTTAATAAGAAATAAAATGATTATGTATTAGAAGTTAAAATTGAAGATGACATTATTTCACGGGTCTCCAAGTTTAGATACTTGAGATTCATTCTACAAAATGATAGAAAAATTAATGAAGATATTTCTCATATAATACAAATTAAGTGGTTAAAGGAGAGAAATACAATAGATGTTATTTGTGATTGTAAAATACTTATCAAATTGAAGAAAAAGTTTTATCACATTGATATATTAGTAGTTATCTTCTATGGTAGTGAATGCTAAGTTTTTAAGAAACAACACAAAAAAAAAAAAAGTAAGAGATGACAAATAATGAACAAAATAAAAAATGATTGTATGTATGACAGTATGAGAATATTGAAGTATCACCTAGTTTGAAAATAAAATGACAAAATCAGTTAAGATGATTAAAATGGATGACATGACTTTTAGTTTGGTAAAAAAAGATAGAGGGAGAGTTAAAAGAACTTTAGAAGAAAGTATTAAAAGAGATACAACAATAAATAATGTTTTGAAGAATTTGATTTTTGACTAAACTCAATAGTGTTGTGTGATTCATATAGTTGATCTCACTTAGTAGAAATAGGCTTAGTTGTTATTGTCGTTGTTGCAAACTTAGGAAGCTGTGTAAAACCAATTTTGTGATAGGTTGAAGTGCATATTCCAGTCAAAATCACAACTGGCCATGCTTTCATTTGTGCAATTAAGCTTATGCTCACATTGTGGTAAATTAAGTAAGGTTCTGGTTTAGTTTGGTTAGGAAATCCTAAATTTTTGTGTTTTTTAAGGGAAAAATTATCTATTTGTGGGTTGTGGCAGACTCGAGGCCTAGAAAAGAATTCTCTCCTTTAGTTTTGGGCTGCGAAATAGCACTCCTGAATTAAGCATCAATTAACAGAATTATAAGCTTAATCCAGCTGAAATGTATGTTTGTTTAGGGGTGGTTTCAAACATAAAATTCCTAATCTCTAGTTTGGGACAGCAAGACTAATTCACTTCATAATTTATGAGAATAAGCTAGTCTGGGTTATGTATAAATTATTATTTATTCCTTGTGGAAACAATTTTCTAGGATGAGTCTGTTGCTTCTGTAGTTGAGAACTTTGTATAACAAATGTGACCTCTTCTCCACATTTCATACTTATGGAGTAATTATCAGTCAGAAAAAACAGTTTCTTGATTTTTTAATTCTCATTTAAGTCTTTCAATGAAATTACCAAAAGAGCGGGATGCAATGGTGATCTTGTCCTTTTAAGTAATTAGGTTAGTTGAGCTTCAAGTCCTTCTCATATGATATTACCTTCACAACAGGTATTGCTCTTCACGTGAGAATTTGACCATTGATCACGTGGTGCCCACTGCATTAGGTGGAGAATGGACATGGGATAATCTAGTAAGATAATCTTTTATGCATATAGAAAATACTTACTATTTGATTACTTATGTATTGTTGTCTATTTTTCTAAAATTTATTATAATGATATTTACACGTGCACCGTAGATGGTTTTTCAAAACACTTTGTAGGAGTTACTGAATTTGTGAATGATCTCCTTATATAAAGCCTTTCTCTATAGCTTGTCAGAGAAAATCAGCATTTGAGTTTTTGTCAGTGACATTACAATTCATTTGTCTGTGTGATCTGTGTGTGTGATTATATACTGACAGAAGGCTTAAAGATATTTCTGCATGTAAATAGCTAAAGATAGATTTAATGAAGATGATACAATGATTGATTCAATGGCTATCATTTGTCTCTTCTTGGGTAGATTTGCCTAAAATATCATTTCTCAGGGTTCTGTTGTTATCCATTTGTTTCCAAAGAATTGCGTGTTTGTCATGGAAGAAAAGGAAACACCCAGCCTTAGTAGCACTTGATTTGGCCTTGGTTTGACAGAAAAGCTAAATTAAAATTTGAGCCATAATGCAAGTAGAAATAGAAAGCTTATGTTGACATGATTAAATGAACGTATTGTATGCAAAGACGATTGAACTTGACCTTTAAGAATGCATAAAATGGGTTTTCTCTTTGATTTCGATTAGTGTCTGGATTATAATTAGTAATCCAGTGCATTTCACTTTACTGCCATCATTATCAAAAGCAAGCAAGTGAAAACCTATTTACAAATGTGGAGTTTCAAGTGGCCAGTTCTTAATTGAATGAAAAGGGAGTGAGTCCAAAGCCCCGTTATTACATGTCAACTATCAACCTTTCACTTGATATAGAACTCATACACAGGATCTGCTGACAACAGGTGACTGCTTGTGTGAAATGCAACTCAAAAAAGGGTAAAAAAACTGTAGAGGAAGCAAAAATGAAGTTGATTAAGGTCCCAAAGGTACTGTCTACTTAACTACAACATATATACTTTCTTCATATGATGGGTTGGCATAAAAGGGCAACATGATGGCTACCAAGAAGGGGTTGCCAATGTTTAATTTCCAATTTTTAAATTGTTAATTGAAAACATAATACCTATGTCTACACATTCATGGGTTTCATGTTCCCTCTATCACTATTAAGTAGAATGCTGCTCTTGTTATTCAGGCCCCAAAGGACTATGACATTCTTGCCATACCTCTAACTGCTGCTGCTTTAAGAATGCTGTCAGTAAGAAAGGGAACACCTGATGAATGGCGTCAGTATCTAAGGTCTCCTTGAGTTAATCTTTGGTGGTAGTTCTATACTCCTGTATGTCATGCCATGCACACTAAATTTCCCCTTGCTCACCCAAAAACAAAATTAAAAGAAAAATAAATCCTTTAAAATTAGTAGAAAAGATTCATTGTAAAACAGTTCTATTCAATCCCAATGATTGTGTAAAATTTATTCATATTAAGTTCCTGTCAAAAGTTGTGTTAACATTGCCAGATCTCTTCTCTTAGAGGACTTGGTTTTGTAGCTGCTTGGTGGCACATGGCTTATAATATGTATATAATTGACGTATAACTAATCTGTTCTAAGATTTTACCCCTCTCATCTATTATGTTTGCTTACCCTTGTGAGTTAGAACTAGTTGTCATAAGTATTCAATGAGCCTCGAGGCCTGCCCTAACCATGTCTAGGGCAATCATCTCCTCATTCTAAATTTGAATTATTCAACCCCCCCTCCTCTATAAAGTTAGAAATGATTATCTTGTTTTCGAGATATAGTAGTCTTTACTGCACCCACATTCAATATCTTATGAGATGTGAATGGAGAGTTGGTCCGAGATCCGTACTAGTGAGTAATGTGTGGTGTTTAATTGATGGTGTGGATAAATTTTGAATCTAATCATAATGAACGGCTAAAAGTAATTATTAATTTATTTTAAACTACTAAAAACGTGTTAAAAATTTAATTCATCTATTAACTATTTGTATGCATGAATATGTAATTCATTCATTTAAAATATAGGATTTTGTTAACCTTAACTTTAAGAGCTAGATTTAAGCATTTATAAATAGAAAATTTTTATATAAAAAAAAATTATTATATTAAAATTATAAAATATAATAATATTTTTTTAATAAAATTTTATTATTATTAGTTACTTATTTTCTGTCTTAAAGATAGAGGTTAACAAAACTTAAAATATATTATATTTTATTTCTTAAAAAATTATGTTTATGTAATAAAATTTAATATTTATACACATTTAGCACTAGAGTCTAAACTTACTGTTAAAGATTTATATTTAACTAATAAAGTTTAAACTATACTTAATTTATGAATTATAAACTATTGTGGATGCTTAAGTATCCATTAATAATAAATAGTAATTCAATTTAGCCAATCTGTTAATATTTGTTTTTATAATTTGATGGGTTGGTGGATTTAGGTATAGATGATTAATAGATAAATAGATGGAATTGCTTTACATAGTAATATACAAGCGCAGAAACACTAAACAAGATATGGTTGGGTTATATAGAGAAGCGTGTTGGCACTTAAACAAGTTTAGATTAAAATGAAATCATACCTGAGAATCTTGGTACTGGTAGAATTTTTCATTTAGTACTAAAATCGTAAAAAAAAAAACAGAAGAAGAAATAATTCTATATATTTATTAACCATTCATTCAGAATAATGTCTAATCATGTTAAGCAAACGTTGGTACGTAGAAATTTTTCATATGAGAATGTTCAACAACGTAAAATACCATTCTTACGTTTTGATGCTTTAGTACGATGTTTAGTTTTCTATAGTATTAAAAGGGTATTTTCATATGTAATAAATGCCCCTTAAATTATAGATGCTAGGCTAGTAGGAGTCTTATGGTACTGCACATGGTTCTCAGTTTGAATGGATCAACCTGTGTTGATCTGCAAATAGTAAAACTATTATGTGTTGGTTCAGTAATGGAACTAACACGTGACCTGTACTTACGCCATTAACATTTATATGTTATATGGTAGGGGCAGGGTTTTATTATTAGTTTATGTACTTTCTAGCCCCATATACATGAGAAGTTGACACATTCAACACCCACAAGCATAGTTTTCATATTTTGTTTCATTGCTTCGATTAGAAATCGATTAGGTTTAACTAATTTAAGAAATTAATAAAGCAAAACATTGGTTAAATTGATCAAACTTGGATAACATCCAATAAAAACGCCTTAGAATTATTTTTAAATAATTAATTCTAAAATATTTTTTAAAATGAATAAAGGTTCATATATAAAATTTATATATAGATTATTATTAATTATTTATTATAAAATTTTATTTCATAAGATATGTAATATATATTTTTTGCTATTATTTAAATTTTTTATAATTGTATATTAGTTTGTTCTTTAATATATTATGTAATGTTAAATGTATATATTTAATAATTGCTAATTTGATATTAATTTAATAATGGTTAAACTAACAAATTGTAAGATCTTGCTAACCAGTGCCTTAGAGCACCAGCTAAAGACTCAATAAATGATATTTTTTTAAAATGAAAATTACCTTAAAATGCATTTAAAATATTAGAAATTATTTTTAATATAATATTTCGATTTTTATTCCTTAATGAATTTGGTAAGTACTTTCCCAGATTGTATATTAGTTTTCTCACTAATTCAATGATGATGCACTTGCATACAAGCTAGGTAACACGAAGAGGTTTTCAAGTAATGATATGAGTATCATTAGCTTTTTGTCCCTGAAAAATAGTATTTTTAGTTAATTTTACTTTTTTTAAAATAATAATAATTTTACAATTTAAAAAAATTAATTTTTTTAATTTTAATTCTTAAAATAATTATTACATTAAACTTCATTTTTCATAAAATGGGGTAAAAATGGAAGGTGGGTTTGGTGGGGTTATAATTAAACTCTGAGCTGGTATAAAAGTAATGTGGATTGCACATCTCAAGAAAAAGGGAGGAATTTGAAAGTTGCATGTGGCAGAGGACGTTCAAGCAGATGGATGGATCATAGAAAGAATCCATCCTAATTCCAACATATCCAATTATCCATGTGGTGGGGACAGTTTCCTTTGCCACATTATTGTTTAGACAAATGCTAATACTGTTCTTTTTAATAATGTTCAAGCCACACAACAAAACTTCATATATAACATTTTTTATTATGTATCTTTGAATTTATATTAAAAAACTAATAGTACTAAGTAATAATACATCTTATACCATATTTTTATTGATTAAAATTCATTGAACTTTATAAAACATAAATTACAGTAAATTTACTCTAACTATAAAAAGCACTTCTCATTTATTTATTCTTCATGGAATCCCTGTCACCCCTCACGCCTCGTCTGTTGAAATTATTGCTTGCGGTGCCCCTCATAGTCATTTTGTACAGTCATGATTCATGAGACCTCATCCACACCCATTTCCAATCAAACTGGGAAATAGTGCTCCCTTCATTATTTAGACGTGTCCTTTTTTCTTCAAAGTTAGTATTTCTCTCTCATTCAAGAGAGAGAGAGAGAGAGAGAGAGAGAGAGAGAGAGAGAGAGAGAGAGAGAGAGAGAGAGAGAGTACCCAAGTCAAAGCATAAGAGGTCACTTACTGAATACTTATAAATGTAGTTTAAGGGCTGTGTACCATGTGTAGGTCCGGTCAATTAGAGTGGCAGAAAACAAAGGGTTAATGGTTCACTTTCAATTACTCATGGGTGTGGTAGCTTAAGCGGCTACATGTTCAACCCATATTGTGTTTGAAGCTGAGAATTTATGGGGCCTACATGGTCTTGTGACCATGGCCTAGTTGCATGTATCAATCAATGAGTGATGATACAAGAATGAGTATTATTAATTGTAATGGTTAATAGGAGATTGAACCCTTTGATTTAGACAGCGTAGCATGGGAAGTTTTTGGCCCATTGGGTGTGTGCCTATGTGCATGGCCACAAGAATGAGGACTAACGACTACTGAAATTATTCATATGCAGTTCCCTTATGTTTCTCTCTTTCAAGCAGCTTCTTTCTTTCAATATCATTCATTTTCATTTAATTACTCATCCAACTTTGGACCCACCACCATTCATCATGTGAACACATTGGTGCTCGATTTATTTTAATTCTCTAGTTGTCAAGCAATCAATCAGATACCTCATTGTAATAAGTTTGTAGGGTTTAGCCAGCGGTTTGGGTCACCAAATTCAAATATACATGCATTCATTCGCGAGCTTGTAAGACAAATTTGAAATTATCAACAGTGAAACCTTGACATTTTTTTTTATTACTTCTGTAGTTCTATTTTAGTCGTTTATAAGTTTGCATAACACTTCTAAATGTTTGCAATGTTAAAATATATTTCTTTCAACAACCTAGCAACTTTCATGGTTTATACTGTTTAAAGAATTTGGGACAATGTTTATAGGGAATATTGGGATGATTTACACATTGACCAGGGAACACCAGGTTTAAGGCTAGTTTTATTTAAGCTTTTCAAGTTTAATTTACTGTAAACTCTATCAAATTGGATAAATAATAATTAAAGAATTCCATATAAATAGATAAAAGCATTTCGCAGTCCTATTTTGGTCGAAATGAGAGAAATTTGTCATAGCAAGGCTTGGCTGAATATATGTTAATCGTTGATCATAAATCATTCCATATAATTTAATTTAAGAATAATGTTAAGTTAGCCTTTAAAAGTATTGATAAACAACTAAAAGTGATAAAATTTTATTAAAAAATATTTATCACTTAAAAAAATAAAGGCATAAGAAATATTAAATTTTTTCAATTAAAATTACTATCTTTAAAAATTGAAGTTAACAGAATTGACTTTGGTTTTTGGATAGGACATCACATGGATTCATGAAAAAAATGTTAATAAGTTTTTTGTTTGTTTGTGAATTTAGAGATAAATATGATTTAAACAAGAGATAGATAAAACTTATTCTTCTAATTTTTTAAACGTGTAATGTTACTGCAATAACATAAACATAAAGATGATTTCTTTGATGATAATATTTTGCAATGACAAGTAAGAAACACAACCTTAATACTTAAATTTAATTTGATATAATCAATACGATTACAGTATTAAGCTTACTTGTATCAACGGTCCACACATTGTATCAACAGTATTATGCTTACAAGCATACTTTTGTCATAATTTATTGATGTTAGAAAGTGAAGATAATTTATATTTGAAAAGTAAAGTTAGGTTAAATTGTAATTTATCCTTAATTTTGTGTTTTTCAAATTCAAATTCTCAACTTTATGTCAAATAGGACAAGGTATAATGTTTTTTAATATGAATTCAACGGTAACAGTATGTACCTAATAAGCACGTGGAAAACCGTAATACGTACGTCATTTAACGTGTTTCTCATAAAACCAAATTTATTTTAGTAAACTTCTAAATTAGTACTTGAAATTATATGAACGTGTATTTTAATTTTTGAAATTTTGAAATTCTTTAATTAGTATTTAATTTTATAAGATATCATTTACTTTAATTTTTTATTCATAATAACAGTAAATAAAATAAACTATAATAAAATAAAAAAACTTTCGGTAAAGTAAGGATTAATATATAATTTTTATAATTTTAGAGATTAAAATATTTAACTTATATTATTTCCAGAATTAATTTAGGACTTTATATTCCTTTTCTAAAACCACTGTTATATATTAAAGATTCAATTGATTTAATTTGAATTAAGAAAATTTATTATGGATGGGAAAAATCTTTGTCTAAATTTTCAACATAGTTACAATTAGAGACTCAAACTTGAAACTAATAGTTCAGCTGATATAATTTTTGCCAATTGATCAACACCCTCCATAATCATAAAACCCATTTTGTTATACTTCTTACATGGATGCTACTTAATTAAATTTGAAAAATATAATATTGCATTTTTCATAAATTAAAAAGAAATATAAGACCAACAAAATTCTGTATGGTTAACAGGTAATTTGGTCCTTAATTATACTTATTAGGGATTTAAAATTGAATTATGTGTATGGCAAAAAAATTGAGAGAAAACATTCACTCTAGTAATTTCTATATCTCAGAAATTTAATTTCTGACAATAAGTTAAAAACACTTATAGGGTACACCAAAAAAAGTTTGTTAGACAAGAAAGTTTGTGTATGAAAAATAAATATATGTTAAACTATATTGGCTAAATTGTAATTGATCCATAATCATATGTTATGTGTATACATGAACTTCTTCCCTCCCCATCTTAGGACCATGATTTTGAAGTCACTCAGACTTACCAAAAGTTAAAAGATTTTGGAAGAATCTGAATGTTAAACATTTTAAATGAATCTGAACTGCATACGCACTGTCACAACCAGTCTGTGCCCTGCCTTCTTGGACTCTTCCAATGCATCTTTTGAGATGTTTTGCAAAGCAAAAGTGAAAGGGGGGCATCTACTTGTTACTTCTGTCTGCAAAGTTAACTGCATTCTTCATATTTTACCCTAAACAAAGGGAATTTTCTAAATGATTATAATAATAATTTTACTTTGCTTATATGACAAAAAAATGTATCGTTTATTTATTTGTATGCCAAAGGCAGAAGGGAAATACAAAAGGTAATTAATTTTAAATAAAAGAAATGATGTTATGGGGTAAATATGGTTACTGTAAGATAAGAAATAGTGATTGGTGTATGTCTGCATGAGATAGTGATGTTAGCTTTCTCACTGTTTGATAAATTTGATTTGTTTTCTTTTTTACTTTTAACCTTTTTATCTGCCGACAAAAAACCAAGGGTCATATTAATAAAGGTGCACTGAGACAAGGGTTGAGTTCTAACTTGGAACACCAATTTTGGCTGGCTTTCTTTCTCTTTCTTCCTTCTCTTGGTGGGTTCAAAATTATACGCATCAAGTTTCAACCTTATGAACATGGATGTGTGCCAAAATGTATCAGTTTCCAGTGAGTGCCAGCAAGAGCAAGTCCTTGCCCCTTCTTGCTCAAGCAGCCTTGATGACCTCTTCTCAGCTCAGAATACGGTCAGTGTGTTACTTCAATGTTGCCTTGTTCATTTTTACCTTATTTTATGGTTTTGATACTATTCTAGCTTAATTTCCCTTGCCCCCTTAGTTCTTTGCAAGTTTTATGGTAAGGTTTTCTTTCTTGGTTTGAGAAAGTGATTTGTTTGGTTTGGCTATTACTATATCTTCACCAAATTTGTAGCTTTAGTGTTATAAACCTTATGCTGTGTATACTGGAGTACATGAAGTGTTTATGCTCGTTTTTGTTTTGTTGTTCTAAGCTAAATTTTGTGCTTTTAACTAAACATATGTGTAGGAAGTGGATGTTGGGTTGGAATGGCTTTCAGTTTTTGTTGAAGACTGTTTTTCCAGCCCTCCAAGTTGTGTCTTGGTACCTGCTAGTGTTCAGACAACAAGCACAAGCTCAAAACCTTTAGGCACATTGAAGAGACCTCAACAAAACGAGTCTTCGTTGCAAAATTTTGTGGTGCCCGGTAAGGCCAGAAGCAAAAGGAAAAGGCTTTCAGCCCCAAGAACCAAAGACCCTTTAAGCCTCTGGTCACACCATTTGAACCCACAAAATGAAGCCTTGAGTTCTGACCCTCCGCTTCTCAAACAGGCTTATTGGTTGGCTGATAGTGAACTTATTGTGCCTAAAGAAAAGGATGAGCAAGAGGTGACAACAAAAGAAGATGAAGTGGTGGAAAAAGGGACTAGGAGCAAGGAAAGTTTTGATGACTCTGAGTTTGAGATTAGCAATGGTCAAAATCCAATGCCAAGAAGGTGCACCCATTGCTTGGCTCAAAGGACCCCGCAATGGAGGGCAGGACCATTGGGTCCAAAGACACTCTGCAATGCATGTGGAGTGAGGTACAAGTCTGGTAGGTTGCTACCAGAGTATAGACCTGCCAAGAGTCCTACTTTTGTGAGCTATTTGCATTCCAATTCCCACAAGAAAGTCATGGAGATGAGGATGGCTGTTATGTCTTCCATTTCTAGTGAGCAGTAGTGGTTACCATATATTTTCATGTAAATTAAACTTCAAATTTTAGGAACAAACTATTTGCAAACAGAGATACTATTAAGGGGAATTATTAATTATTAGTGCTATGATTGATTATAGGCACATTTATATCACTTGATCTTCCAGCTTCATTTTGTCCTTCTTCCCCTTCTTTGGAGCTATATGCATTGCACTTTCATAAATAGTAGGTTAGGTAGTATTTATTCTTTACTCCAAAGAGAATGTACAAGTAGAGATTAACATTTTGATGTTAACTCCTATATATTTTGTTAATTGGTAGCAAGTTACTTTTCCATTTCCATCTTAAGATAAGATAGAAGCTGAAGGGAAATGAGTACATATAGACTATAGAACCAGCAAGGGTAATTATGTCATTGTCAGTGTTGAAGGCTATGCCTAAATTATGACGCTACCTTGACTTTCCCCTTTTTTCTCATTTTCCTGTAGTCATTTTTTACCTTTGAATATTTCTTTAAACTAACTAAGACATGAATTTTGTTCCACTTGGTATCGTATTCTGTCAGTATAAGCATGTGGGTGTGTTCTTAATTTATTTATACTGGCAGTTGGCATGCACTACCACACAGAAGATAAGATAATCCATTACGATATGTCCATGCACGTGACTTTCAAATTCCTTAGACAAGGTAAACAATTTGCAAGATGAGAATTTTTCAAATTTCACTATTTTATTCTTCTATATTTGTTTGATTTTATTCTATTTTGAAAAGGGCATATTTGGGAACCTGGTTTTTTATGAGATTCTTGTCTTGCTTGCGTCCATCTCCATTTTATATTCGACCCTCTTTAGAGAAGAAACACCAAATTGAAAATTCAGATAAGATGACAATTATAAAAACATAGTGTTTCTTCAGTAATTTTTTATAGCAAAATTCTACAAGTTGGTTTGATGAAAACTTATAAGAATCTTGCTCTTTCTTTCACTTTAGTTTTAGCACCTAATATTAGTTAGTAGTGTCACATCATAATTTGACTGTAGAATTGTTACAGTATTATTGGTTGGGTTGGGGAAGTGCCATATCCTACTATTTTAGAATAATGTCAAATTTCATTGCTAAGGATATATTCGTACATTTGAAAGGAGTGATTTTTTTAGTAACTTTGTCATTTAGTTTAAAAGAAAGAAATTAGAGAAACGAGTCCCACAAAAAATCGATGAGACAGATCCCATTTTCATATTATATAGTTAAATAACTTTTAAAATTATATAAAAATGAAAAAATAAAATTAATGATATTAAGAAAAATATTACATTAAATTATTTAAAATTTCTCATTAAAATATTTTTATATTAATTTTCAATAAAAAATTTATGTTTAATTTATATATATGAATATTTATTATATTTTACTTTTTATCATTATAACATCATTAGTAAAAAATAATATTAATTAAGTTATTGTTATTGAGTCATCTTATATGTATTTTTAATAATATTATATCGTTAAAGGTTAGAACACAACGAAGTATTTATATTAAGATTAAAATATAAAATTTTAAAATATGAAAACTTTTATATATGAGTATTAATTATAGAAACTTTTTAATATATTTTTACTATTAGTTTATATTTTATTTTTAGCCTACTCTACATTCTTACCGGTCACATCTTGAGGAAGGATATTATATATAGCATATCAAATATGAATGTTAAGATTATTTAAATAGATATTTTAATATTTTTATTATTAGTTTATATTTAAAAATTTAACGATACTTTTAACAAAATTTGATATGTTAGACAGATAAATAAACTTTTTAAGGAATAAATTAATGTAATAATAAAAAGTGTGTTGAAAACTGTTATTAACAATTTTTTTCTTTAAGTGATTAATTAATATCAAGAAAATTAATTATGAAATAAGTTTCATGAAGTAAGTGCTTTGTTTTAAGTTGTTATCAAGTCTTATGATATAATAATTAAACTGTTTTTATTTTAATATCACATGGTATTTTTTATATATTTTTAATTTTTTAAATTATTATTTATTTTATTTATATGTTATTTCATCTTTTATATTCAACTTATTTTTAAAAATTTTGGAAAAACTAAAAAAATACGACAATTTTAATAAACTATAATTTTTTTAAATATAATTCATTAATACAATACTCATTATCATATAAATAATTTATTTTGATGATATTTTATTTAATTAAAAAATCACTACAATGTCATGGTAGTTTCTTATATTTTTTATGAGGTAATTTTTTATTCTATTCATTCATTTATATTTTATCAAATTTTTTATTTATGTTATATAGTATAACCTTTTCAAATTATTTATTTTAATAATTTTTAAAATTTTTTCAAATTTTCAGAAAAATCAAATATGATAATTTTTAATAAATTATAAAATTATTATTATATATGTTAAATAAAAAGAAAATATGCATCAATGTAATACCCAATACTGTAAGAAATTTTTATAATATTTTTTGAAAATATTATATTTATTTAAAAAATAAAAATTGATGAATGAAATATAAAAAATTTAATTATAAAAAATAAAATAGTTTAATTTTTTATATGAAATTGAAATTAAAAAAATCAGTTGTTAATAAATTGATAATATTTTGTACTATCTATGTATGTAATTTTTAATTTGACTTGTAAAATACGACATAAAATTAATATGAATGATGATATAATATTATATTTTCATTTTTTTATTTTAAAAATTCACTTTCAAAATTTATAATTTTAAAACAAATTTTTTTATTAAACATATAAAAATTGTGATTTTTTAACAACACATCTCATTCATCTCATATTTGACTCAAATTATATGAATTAACTCAAATGTTATGTAACCAAATATCAAAACAAGTTAACAAATTATTAACAAAGGGGCAAAATAGAAATCAAAAATAATTTTTAAGAAAAAAATAATTAAATATTATCTGCGGAATTAGACTAAATAGTAAATAATGTTGTTGGAGCTATTTAAAAAATTAAAAGTAAAACTTTTACTAAAAATACTATTAATATGCATTTTATGAGATTTTTAATATAATTTTTGACAATTTTTCTTTAATTCTTCAAATAATAATATAATTGACAAGATTTAAAAATAAAAAAAAATCAACATGTTAATTATGTTTAAGGGTTTTTCAATGAATAATAAGAATCAGAGAAGAAAAGATGCTAGGTCCTAGGATAATGTTGGCCCTCAAGACATTGTTTGATCTTTTTTAATTTTCAAATTTTGATGTGTTAACTTTAGTCCGTGTGTAAAGTGGAAAGGAGGCAACACAGCAGTGACAGTCAAACATTGTCATCATGGTCAATGTTGATTTTGTTGGATTTGGATTCACATTTACGGTATTAACTGTTAAGTAATATAATAGGATAACGTTGAAGAGAGAAAAATGTATTTTTTTATTAAATTTAAATAATAAATTTATAATTGATTATGATAGATTTTTGTTGAACAAAATTATGTTTTAATTTTTTTAATATAATTATATCATGTTACTTGATAATATGGAAAAAGCTAAATTTAATTTATTTATTTATGATAAAGGCAGATAGATCAAAGAAAATTGCTTTTTCTACTTTCAAATTTCAATAATCAACAATAATAACATTTTGGAGGATACATGACGTTTTTTAGCACTGGGACCAAATCAAATTATTGCTATAGTAAATGTTGTTAATACAGATAGTTAAAAGATTTTTAAAAAGTTTTTGCAGCAATTTTTTTTTTTTTTCATTCCTTTATATAAACCTGATAATAATAATAATAATATATGGATTGAAATATGCGGCAATGAAATTATTACATACCTCTTAAATTAAAAAAAAAATCTCTAAAGATGGATGTACACATTATCAGGGTGAAACTATAATATTTTACTTGCAATTAATAATTTAGACATGTTATGTGAGACAAAAGAATATTTAAATAAGAATTTTAAAAAATAGAAGATATGTGAGAAACATGTTCTGTTATAGGACTTGAAATATTCTATAATAAATTACAAGAATTATTAGACTTATTTATAAAACTTATATTGAGAATGTTCTAGAGAGAGTCATCATAAAAAAAAAATTGTTCAAATGGAATTGTGCCAATTTAAAAGAAACATTATTTTATACAATGTCCATCGAATTATAAAGAGTGAAAACAAATGGAATGAATTCATATAATTGCGCACTGGATAATTTTATGTATGCAAATTCCTAAACTAAACTTTATATTAATTTTGCACTTGAGATGTCAATCAAGTAATTCAAATGATGAATAAGAGTGTAGTTAAATGAGATGTTTTAAGTGAGTAATTATTTTTAAAAGAATTTATAATTTTATAGATTAAAATTTGTCGTTTGAATAATAAATTTTAAAGAATTTAAAAGTTTAAGAATTTTAGTGGAAATTTTTAATAAATTAAAATAAAAAAATATTAACTTCTAATAAAAGAGTGAGAATTTAAATCTTTTTCATTTATTGTGTGTTCTATTTATATTTTTATTTAGTTATGGTTAAATTAATAATTTAAATTTTATATTTTCAATTAATTTTGTTAAATATAGTAATAATTTTATTTTTAAATGTCTTAATTTAATTGCTCTGTATAAACTAAAAATATTTGAAATGAAGGAAATTCAATTATTCTATTCAAATAAAATATTTTAAAATAATAACAATTTAAATGATATAATTTATTTTTTTAAAATTTAAATTCTTTAAAATTTTTAATTATCTCATTCAAATTCAACATAAGGTTTTGGGTGTCACTTTTAGAAGAAAATAGAGGGGGATGAGAGAATTTATTTAAAATTAATCCTTGTTTTAGAGTTATAAAAAAAAGAAATGGTTAGAACTCTTAAAACTCTCTTAACTTTATTTTTTGAGTTTCTCATACTTGAAAAGTTTTGGACTACTGAAGAGTGTCATGTGTAATACCTCTTCTTACTAATTTACAATTTTTTTTTTTATTATATCTAAGGTAGTTAAATTTATGAATCTACTTCAAATTGTTAAAAAAAAGTAAAAATTGTAAATTGTAAAATCATAAATTGAATTGTAAGATTTTACAAATATCATATATACATGCATATAAGTTCATATTCTGTATATAAAATAGTTGAAATTTAAAAATAATAAATTATTAAAAGTATTTGAATAATCCATATTCCATAAGAAGACTATTGAGCAT